GAGCGCGACCAGGGGCGCCTCCTTTCTGACCTTCCATCGCCTGAGGGGGGTACGACGACGACGACGACGACGACGACGACGACGACGACGACGACGACGGCGACGACGACGGCATGACGGGAGGCTCCCAGAGGCCCTCTTGGCGGCCTGGGAAGGCCGGCGCGCGGATGCGAGCGCGTCCGCGTCGGGGGTGCAGAGCGCGGGCGGCGCGCGGCCGGGCCGGGGGAGCGTTGACAGAGACGTCGGTTATACGTTTCCACGCAAGGGGCGGCCCTGGGCAGGAGTGGCCGCTGATGCGCTGCGTCGGGGGCCGCAGAGAAGAGGGGGGTGGGTGAGAGAGGTGAGGGGCAACGATAGGGGGGGGGACTGGCATAGGGGGGAATCATCGACCTGGAATCGCCGACACATCGCCGATAGATCGACAATGGGCCACCGATAGTGAATCCGCACGTTCCTGGGCAGGTTGGGGCGGTCGGGCCCCCATCGGCGATGCATGGGCGATTGCGGGTCGATGCGTTCCCCCCCATGCCTACCCCCCCCTCCAATCGTCGCCCCCGAAGCGGGTGGAGGGAGGCGGGGAGCAAATCCAGGCAGCGCGCTGACCAGCGCTGGGGGGGCATGGCGGGGCCGCAAGACCCCAGCACCGCCTCTGGCAGCAGCGCGCGGCCCCCCCGGCCCCAGAGGAGGAAGCGAGACCCTGACCGGACAAGCTCGGCTGAGGCCTCTCCTCAAGAATTGAAATTCCTCGCCCAGCCCTGGGGGACTCCGCCCTCTCCGGCCCGGCTGGGGGCTCCCCGCGCTCTGGCGTCCCCTGGTTATGTTGCATCCTGCATCCTCGGGGGACCTTGCCTCTCCCGTTGCGGCCCTATCCGCGTCGAATCCGTGTCGAATCCATGCCGGACTCGTCGGATCCGCGTCGAGTCCGAGTCCGCGTCGAATCCGCGTCGAATCCACGCCACATCCGCGCCGAGTCCGCATCGAGGCCCGCGTCGGGCACAAGAGAAGACACAACTTTGGGGGACAGGCGATGTCCCCCGAAGATGCAACGCAACGCTGGCGTCGAGGCGCTGGAGCGCCAGGCACGCAGCGCGCAGGTCGCCCCGCCCCCCAGCGGCGCCCCAAAAGAGGGGCGCCAAGCGCAGCGCCAGACACTGGCCCACACCTGGCAATGGCGCCGCCCCGCCTCTCCCCGGACTCTCAATCGTCCTCGATCCTCGATCCGCGATCCTCGATCCTCGATCCTCGATCCTCCTCCTCCTCCTCCCCCTCCTCCCCCTCCTCTTCCTCCTCCTCCTCCTCCTCCTCCTCCTCCTCCTCCTCCTCCTCCTCCTCCTCCTCCTTCTCCTTCTCCTCCTCCTCGAGACCCTGACCGGACGAGCTCGACCGATGATTTAGGGGCCTCCTAGATGGGGTCCAAGTAGATGGGGTCGAAGTATCTCGCCGCATCGCCATTGCATCGCCGATGCATCGGCGACGCATCGGCGATGCATCGGCGGCGTCGGCCGACGCATCCATGGGGGGGGGGGGGGTACATCCAGGGACGCCGCTGACCGCTGCTGAAGTGTAGAGTGGAGGTGTCGCGCCCGTAGTCTCAGCTGCTCCCCGCGTGGATCCAGGGTCGCGGCAAGCCGCCGCTTTGGGTTGAGTGAAGACGAAGCACCCACGGAGAGTGGCGGCAGACGGCCCTTGTCAGACAGCACCGGGATGCAAGAGTACTCTGAGCCCCCGTGGGATGCCTCGCGCCCGTAGTCTCTGAGTACTCCCCGCGTGGAGTACCTTGAGCCCCCGCGGGATGTCTCGAGCCCGACGTCTCTGCAACTCCCCGCGTGGATCCAGGGGCGCGGCAAACAGCCGTTCTGGGCCGAGTGAAGACGGAGCGCGCACGGGGGCTGGCGGCAGACGGCCCTTGGCCGACAGCACCAGGACGCAAGCGTACCGTGAGCTCCCGCGGGAGGCCTCGCGCCCGTAGACTCTGCTGCCCCCCGCGCGCATTCCGGGTCGCAGCAAACCGCCGCTGGGAGGAAGGTAATACCGGACGGTCGATATTTTCGTCCACTGCTGGTGTGGTCCAGGGCGGGCAGTCTGCAGCCAGTGGACTGACTCGCTGAAGGCAGCGCTGCCACCTCGAAGGCCGACGCGCCCATGGGGGGGGGGGGGGGCATCCAGGGACGCCACTGACGGTGCTGAAGTGTAGAGAGGAGGTGTCGTGCCCGTAGTCTCAGCTGCTCCCCGGGTGGAACTAGGGTCGCGGCAAACCGCCGCTCTGGTTTGGCCGAAGGCGAAGCGCCCACGGAGGGCGGCCTCAGACGGCCCTTGTCAGACAGCACCGGGATGCAAGAGCACCCTGAGCCCCCGTGGGATGCCCCGCCCCCGCAGTCTCTGCTCCAGGGTCGCGGCTAACCGCCGCTCTGGGTTGAGCGAAGACGGAGCGCCCACGGAGGGCGGCGGCAGACGGCCCGAGCATCCGCGGGAGGCCCCGCGCCCGAGGTCTCAGCTGCACCCGCGTGGACCCAGGGTCGCGGCTAGCCGCCGCTCTGGGCTGAGCGAAAACGGAGCGCGCACGGGGGGCTGCGGCAGACGGCCCTTGGCCGACAGCACCGGGGCGCAGAGCACCTCGAGCCCCGCGGGCCCCTCCCCGCCGGGGGGGGCGACGGGACGGGCACCCAGGGATACGGCCGCTGGACAAGGGCACGCGCGGACCCTTCACTGCCAGGGCGGCGCCACGACGGGGGGCAGCAAACGGCTGCTATGGGGAGACGACCAGCCACTGTTTCTTGCCCTTCCAGGGCGCGCGGGCGCCCGGGCTGCCCTTTGCCGCCCGGCGACCCCTGCCCGCGCCGCCGCTTCGACCCGGGCGCCGACGCCGCAGCTGAGCCCAGTCGACGCCGAGGCCCAGCGCGTCGCCAACGGCCCGCGCGTCGCACTTGTGGCTGCGGAAGGAGTCCAGGAAGCGAAGGCAGGTCTGCGCGCCGCAGCGGGTCGAGCGCGCCCCTGCTGCCAGGCGCGGCCTGCTGCGCGGCGAAAGCGTGCCAGGTGCCTGTGAACATTGCCCCCGGGGTGACTCGGGGCCGCCCCGTCGCCTCGCCGGGTGTCTCCCCGGGAAGGCCCCACTGGATGGTGCCGATCTTTGTATTGTACAGCTACTGTCCCGCGTCGGGGTCTGAGGGCTCTGGCCACTGGCGCGGCTCTGGCCAGTGGCGCTGCCGCGTGTTCTGGCCGCAGGTCTCCGGCGAACCAGCCCCGTCGTCCTGGGCGGAGGGCTCGGAGTCTGTTTGCGAAGACCCACGCCTGGCGGCGCCCTGCGGGCAGGTGCGGGCCGCGCAGTTGGCCGCCAGGCAGGGGCCCGATCGCCCCCGGCAGCCCGGGCGGGCGCTGCCCTGAGGCGCGCGGGGAGAGGCCCCTTTCGCTGGCGTTCGCCTTCGGGCCTGCGCCCGCAGTCGCTCACGGGCGCGCCCCCTTCGGTCGCCGCGAGGCCCTCGCCGGGCGCGGGGGCGCCGCCGGTCGCAATTACCAGGTGCGCGCACGTGCGGCGACACCGTTTCCATTGCCAGAGCACAAGCTTCTTTGTCAGGCGCGTCCTGGGCGTCTGGAGGGAGCGCCCGAGGTTCGCCGCCCATTCGGGCGCGTTCACTGGCAGGGGAAGGAGGGCGAATAAGCGCGAAGGGGTTTCTCCCGACGAGCCGGTGGATGGCTTCGATGTCCTGCGTCTGAACGGCTGGCCCGCGGCCCCCACGCTGGGTCTGCGGCGCACCCAGAGGACCACTGACGGTCTGCCTATTTCGTGGAGATGGCGGGGATGGCACGCTGTGGCAGTCGAGCCCCTCCTGGCCCAGGATCTCGCTTCGCGGACTGTCGCGGCTGTCGTCCGCACTTTCGGAGGCCAACCCCTGTCTACCCGATTCTGCTCCAGGGACACGGCTGACGGCTTGCGCCTCATCCGCACCTTCAATGGCCCCTGCCGCTTCAGGCCCCCTGTCTTCCGCGGCCCCCGCAGCTCCCGCCCCTCCCGCCCCATCCTCCCTCTCCTTTTCCTTGTCACCCAGGGTCGCATCTCCCGTCCCAACCGGGCAGCTGGAGTCGAGAAGATGGCACGGGCACTGAACCTCTTCCGCGCAGCTGGAGTCGCGAAGATGGCTCGGGCACTGCGATGCAAGGGTGCCCCGTGGCCTCGGAGACCGGGGATCAGGGAGCAAGGGCACCTCATTCAGACCCGTTCCGCCCCCTTCTGGCCTGACGGACCCTGCGTCTTCTCGTGGGTTCTGCAGGCTTCCAGGGGCGCCCGGAAGGCCGTCAGGGAGCAGGGGCACCTCCCTCTGACCGCCAGAGAGGGCGCCTTGAGGTCTCGCGGGCCCCTCGGCACCAGGGTTGCGGCAGACGGCTGTCTGAGCTGTTGTGGGTCTCTGCCGCCGCCGCTGCTGCCGCTGCTGCTGCTGCTGCTGCTGCTGCTGCTGCTGCTGCTGCTGCTGAGGGGGCAAGGGTGCCTCCTGCTGACCGTCGGAGGGGGTACCTTGAGGTCTCGTGGAACCCTCGTCACCAAGGTTGCGGCTGACGGCCGCCTGAGCTGTTGCGGGTCTCTGTCCGCCAGGGTTGCCGCTGACGGCCGCAAGAGTTCTTCAAGATCTCTCTTCTCCTGCGTGTTCTTGCCCAGTCTGCTGGCCGCCAGGGGTGCCCGGAAGGGCGTCAGGGAGTGGGGGTGCCTCCTTCTCACCCGTTCCGTTCCCTTCTGGCCTGACAGGCCCTGAGTCTTCTTGCGGGGTCTGCAGGCCAGACTGAGGGCTGGCCGTGCCCGCGGCTGCGGCGGCCGCGGAGGCCACTGCGGCCGCGGCCGCGGCGGTGGCAGCGGCGCCAGCGGCCGCGGCACCGGCGCGCGCGGCAGCCGGCCCCCAGGCCGCAGCGCGGGCCACGGCGGCCGCGGCCCCTGTCAAGCGGCCAGCCGCCGCGGCGGCAGCGGCCTCGGCCGCGGCCACGCGCGGCGCCGCGGCGCGGGGGCAGGCGGCCGG